CTTTTGTACAAAGTATTACATAAATTTCAGTAAGTGTGTTCAATACTTTTTCCCTGTGCCATTCCACATTATTACAAATAACTTCATTTCTGGTTGTTACCAACATCTAGTGAAAATTTCATGTCATTAGCACCTCTAGTAATATATTTACTGAGAAAAATGGAGACGTGTTCAATACTTATTTTACCCGCTGTATATTCTTAAATATATTTTGATTTTATACAATAAAAGTTATGTCACCAAGTTTCTGTTAGAACAAAAGGTTCTTTATCCAGCATGGAGTCACGGTCTGAGTCCAGACCATCAGCTTCTCATTCACTCAAAAAAATGTTTAGTCCCAAGGCTTATCAGAGGGAGATCTTCTGGTCTCGGCCCGTGGAYCTCCAGCGTGGATCCTGCCAACAATGCCAATTTGTCATGGAAATCTTTAGAAGATAGAAACACGTGATCCATGAATAAAAGTAACTCCGTGAAATGGTCAATCGGGATTTATTGCAATTGCAAGACACGCACACAGGGCAGTGGTACAAAATGTGTGCCCTGAGGCAGTGTCAAATATATGCATTTATACAATATGTTATTCAAACAGACAATAAACATCTCTATTGGTGCTGAAACTGGGCCAAGGAGAGAATGATGTTTGATAAACAGCAAAAAGAATGATATAACTACATAGGTCAGATATTGTCCTGATCTTGAAACACTTTGTCTGAGAGAAAACAGAAGATAAAGAGTAAAATCATAAAACATGATGACATTTTAAGGTAAGCAAAAGAGATCACTGACTCTTGGCCTGAGAAWAAATGTAGGACTTTAAAATGAAAATTTATTTTTCCAATACACTCCGTTCAGAACCAGTACTGGTTTGTTGTATGGTCTATTCTCTTCACATTTTAATCAATTCAACATTCAGGTGGTTTATGCCTGGTTAAAGTGTATCTTATCCCCCCACCACCCCCGTGAAAAGATAACTCAGCCACAAGGCGAAATTTGAAAAATGCATCAAAGTGGGTAGGGGAGGGGGGGTTAGAGAGCGGAGGTGTGGCCAGGACGAGAGAATGTGACAGGCAGCTAGGATTAGCATAGTTGATGCTACATGGAGAGTGACCACAGTATCACAGATAGTTACATCTCTAAACGTCTGAGGTGAAAGCGCTGCTGCGAAGCAGGAGGAAAGGAGAGAGGAAAAAGTAACTTATTTCTAGTGGCAGAACAGGTTGGAAGATGGC